TCTGTCTAGCTCAGCATTCACTGTGGTAGGAAAATGGTTTGAGAGTTACAGAAGAAGGGAGATAAAGCCAAGATCACTCACATTCATTAAAAGGATCACAATGAAAGATAACACAAACTGGAGGAAAATGGAAGGTCACAGGACCTCTTTCATTAAGCAAATTTTCCTGATTGACAAGCTTATTAGTAACTTTGATGGATACTGACTATAAACTCTGCCTTTGAAACCTTTGTGGACATGCTGTGATCTTGGCCAAATCACTTTCATTTTTTTTCCAGTGATAGAAACACGTTTCTTATCTGCACCACAAAGGGATCAGATTACTTTCTTAGAGTCCTCACAGCTTATGCATAGACTGAAGCCCCAGAGGGACTTCTCAGACAACCTGGAGGCCTGTGCCATGCTACCAAACTAACTTTGTCACTAGGCATCTGGCCAAAAAGAACATCCTCTGGGTCACCTGCCCAAAGCTATAATGGGGCTGGCTGCCAGGGACCAGAAACAAGCGGCAACAAGGGAAGGCCATTACTTGGGAGAATATGCATGTTCACAGCCCTGAGGATTAAAGGCCCGTGCTCTTATCACTGCTGAACAGAGTATTATAAATCCAGTCTTAGAATACAAAATCCCCTGGCGGCTTGGCCATTGTGAGGGAATATTAAAAAGGCTGGAGACAGAAATAATCAGTTTCCGAATGACACATTGTCAAATAAAGCATTTTCCACATTATCTTTGTCTTTCCTTTCTCTTGCTTCTTCTGCCATGTCTGGATATTTTAACATGGAAAGTAGATGAAAACGAAGCCAGGCTGAAAGCATACTAACTCTGCCTTCTCTGAGTTCTCTGTTGGTAGGGTGTTGGGAGTGCCGGCTTTTAGACTCAGCAATTTATGAGTGTTAATATTGTTTGTGTAAGCAAACTCAGAGAAGGTGCTCAGATAAAAAGCAAAGCTGCTAAGGGGTCATACAGATTATCACCAGGAGCTCCATGCATGCTGTGGTTGGAGCTAATGACAGGGTCTTGTATTTGCATTTTTCTGATGTGTCAGTGAGGTTTTTAGGCACCTGTGTGTTTCTTGCAATTTCTGTACAGGCAATGCACCAAATACTAGCAAACAGCAGTTCAGAACCCGGACTGGAAAGCTGGTCAGGCAGGCAGATGATCCACTGGCAGCAGTGTAGTCAGATAAATTGTAGCCCTCAAAGACTGAGAGGAAGGAAGAAGCAAAGATCCTGTGATGGTTCATGTGAATCACAGAATGATGAGTCTGAGAATGTGTGTATACAACACACCTCTATATGTATTTGTGAGTGCGTTTCTGAAGAGGTTTAATGCAGTGGTAAAAGACTCATCTGAAATGTTGTAGCACTATCCCATGGGTTAGATAGAATAAAAGGGGGGGGGCAAAGAAGAGATTCTGCATTCTTTCTGTCTCTTCTCTAATGCCACGATATATAATGGACTGAAACTATCAGCAAAATAAATATTTCCTCTTCCCTTCTTTGCTTTATCAACTGTTTATTCATGGTGATATAGAGTCAATGAGATGTCCACAGAAGACATAATCTCTAAACTGAAAAGCTGGGGACTCATAATGAGCACGTCATCTTCCTGCTGCTCCTACAATAAACTATCATAGGCTAGGTGGCTTAGAACCAAATAAAGCCACTCTCTCATAGCTCATGCAAATGCCATCAGGGTCATTGATTCTGGAAGCTCTGTTGGAGAGGCTGCTACAGATTGTGAAAAGAAGACCCATGGACCAGTAGTATCCTTTGCTTGTAACTAGGTCACTCTAACCTCTGGCTCTGTGTTCACCTTACCTTCTTTCTATGGGGTCCTGCCTCTATATTCTCTCCTCTTAAAAAGACAGAAGCCATTTTGTTTAGGGTCCTTTCTAATTTCATATGCTCTCATCTTAAGGAATCAGATCTACAAAGTTCCAATTACCAAATGAAGTCACCTCTTAAGATTCTGTGAGGGCATGTTCCTCGGGTACCTAATTCACTGCACTTTAGGTGGAGGGTCAGTGAGTTAACATAAGGGGTCATCAAATTATGGGGACAGGTTAACCAGTCAGTTTTCTCTAGGGTTAGTGATTCCAGGCAGGACAGGTGAGTCTTGCCGAGAATGGAAGCGTGTGAAGGAAGCAGAAGCCCAGTCATGAAGGTTACCGAGTGCCAGGCTGGATGTTAACCTGTGACTGGCTAGAGTAGAGCAGTAGAAAAACTAAATGAACTAAAAGAACTAAAGCTTCTTTCTGTGGTGGAGACTTTTTACTCACATCGCATCTTGTCTTTTTAAATTTTTAGCACAATTTTTTACAGTAGGAATAATCATTTGCAAAGGTGCCATCAGCAAACAGGGAATCAGAGCATCGCAAGTCCAGGACACAGCATTTTCACATCGCAGCCCTCTATGCCCTTATCCTCGCTTGCCTCTGCTGGGGAATCTGTGGCCCATTCTCAGAAACTAAATAGAAAAAGTAATATGATCCTGCAGAGAGATACCTGAGGAAGGAAGATTCCAGAAGAGAAGGGGGTTGGGGGACCCACCTTTTCTCTTTTATTTCTTCCCTCCTCTCACGCTCAGAGCACAGTGAAGTTCCCAGACCCATAAAGAAGTAAATCAAATACCTTTGTCCTCACTTGTGCACTTTCAGACTCACGCAAAGCCACTAACTAACTAACTAATCGATTGCTGTGCTTTTCCTGGGATTTTCAGCCATCATCCATCCTTATTTATCTTAAATAAAGACCCAAGATCTTCCCTCCTTAAAGTAGATGTGGGATCTGGTTGTCCCTGAGACCAAATGGGCTCAGTGCACCAGCCCTGAGCCTTGGCCTCTTCTTGACTTGCTTTATGAAAATCCACAGTCCTCGGCACCTCATCTCTCCCTCTCTCCATGGCTCCTGCTTTACTCTGAAGGATTTTCCAGTCATCAGGGGCTGGGTTTGTTCCTGCTGTGTGCTCAGGACCTGGATACCCCAGCTCTGCTAATACATCAATTGCTTTTTCTTTTTCTCTACTTGTCCCTGGTGAAAGAAGCTGGAGTAGGAATGTGGATCCCTTGGTGTGTGTATCCTTAGCCATTGCTGGTGACTCAACACACTATTTCTCCCTGCTGAGACACTCTTCTTCCTTTCACGAGATTGTCCAAATGAGACAACGGTATAGCAGTGGTCTCTCACGGTCCCTATGCTAAAGCACAGCCCTCCAGTATGTAGTGAGCATTTTCCCACACTTTAGATTTTGACCACCAACCCTTTAGTTGCCTGACTGAGAATATTTATATCTCTTGCTTACCATCTGTCAGTTTCCGGTGAGTTCTCCACACCCGTCAGCTCTCAACTCATCTCCTTTCAAAGAAGCTTTTGACTCACACATTTCACATATACTTGAAAATTTATACATATGCACATCTACATAAACATATGTAATGGAGATACGTTTAATTTGTCTTATTGGTTGCTAAGTTCTGATATCTAGGAAAATATTCCTTGAGTCCTTAATGGAGATCACTGCCAATGTCAAGACACAATTTCAGTTTTCTTCCAATGCTCCCATCCCAAACTTATACCTAGCTACTTTTGAGCCCCAGCCCCTTTGGGAGATGATGCATCTTTTACTATAGTGAATTTTTGGATCTTTTATAAAAGAAAATTATAGTTTAATTGTGTGTGTAGTCAGCAGGATGTCAGGACCACGTTAGTGAAAAGACAGTAATATGTCTTAATAGTATCCACGGCAGTCACCCTCTCTCAAGATGCTGTGTTCAAGGTTAGTTTCTGTTTCCTTGGGGACAAGCTATAGTGACCAGGACTTGGTTGTGCCTGCAGTCAGATTATGGTCTAACTGCTTGAATGAAATGGAAAGAATATAATCTTTAGAATTAAGACACAAAATCACACAAAATGAATTAGCAAGCATAATGTTCCAATCCCATTTCCACACCATGCCCCCTTCACATATACCCAGGGTGCCCCTCTCCCTGTGTGGTATCACACCAGCAGAACTGAACAGAGTGGCACCTCGTCTCCAAAGTGTAGAACATGATACAAAGGGAGGAAAGAGCGATAATTCCAGTGCAGGTTTTTCTGGCATTGTGGAGACTAGGGGAGACTCTAAGATGCCTACTGTCCACCGTTGGCCGGGACCAAGGAGATAAATGCATATTTGGGGAAGAGTTTCCCCTTAGGAACTCTTAGAGCAGATCATTTCATGAATTTTACAAGTCAGTTTAGTTACATTTGTAGACATGGCGCCATATTTCTCAGTAATGTATCATCTGCGGAGGCGGGAGGTTAAAGAATTAACGTCAGTTTTCTTTAAGTTCCTGAGTAAAGGAGCCTTACAAAGCTTTGCTATCATTCCCCTGTTTATTCACACATTCTACTACATTTTTAAGCACCGACTTTGTCCCAGGCCCCTTCTTGAAAATCAAAGACTAAAAGGACTGAAAAGTGAACACAATATAAACTGTAGAAATGTTTGGATTTGATAATGCAATCTAATACTGTCTTAAGGTTGTAATAGGGTGTATGGAATGTTACTACTGCTTAAGCCCTTAGAGAACTCACTTTGTAGATAATAAAATAAGGCTGAGAGAGTTTGATGGATTGTTCTGGGTTTGCCTAGCTGGTAGTAAGAAGAGGAAGGCAGCCACCTGCATTTAACAAGCAAGATGGTTCTAACATGGCTATAAGCAATGTCCTTTCTTTTCATATCAAACTTATAAAGAAAGATGAGTAAGACTCTTACTCATTCTTGATGACTGAGGAATGAAAACATAGAGAAGTCAAACTGTTTCCTCAAAGTTTCATGGTTTGTTGACAAAAGAAAAAAAAAGCTGGCCTAGGAAGTAGTGTCTCTCTAGCTATAAAACCACAATTTTTGTAATCCGTAGACCCCGGGCTAAGTGAGACAGATAGGAAAGCAGTCCGCGCTACAAACAACAAACCAATGGCCCGTATCTCTGCTCTTCTTTCTTCCTACTCCAGGGTGGACTCATTGCACTGCTGCTCCTGTTGCTGGTGTTCACAGTGGCACTATATGCCCAGCGGCGCTGGCAGAAGCGCCGGCGCATCCCCCAGAAGAGCGCAAGCACGGAAGCCACTCATGAGATTCACTATATCCCGTCAGTGCTGCTCGGCCCTCAGGCCAGGGAGAGCTTCCGTTCCTCCAGGCTTCAGGCACACAACTCAGTCATTGGTGTACCCATCCGGGAGACCCCCATCCTGGATGACTACGACTATGAAGAGGAGGAGGACCCACCCAGGCGGACCAACCATGTCTCACGTGAGGATGAATTCGGCAGCCAGATGACCCATGCCCTGGACAGCTTGGGCCGGGCAGGGGAAGAGAAAGTGGACTTTGAGAAGAAAGGTGAGCCCCTTTAGCATTCTGTCTTTCCTGGGGAATTCTGGGGCATGGAGAGAGGTGCAGGGCTTGGGGGCATAAGCAGGTGCCCAAATCAAACACTGTGAATCTTAGACTTATCTCTCTGCTCTGTTATCATACTCCATCTATTTTTGGTTCTTCTTCAATGACAGAACTAAAGAGTCAGTAACTGGACTTTTGAGGACATCAGAGTTCACTGATAAAAATTATTCTCAGAGTTAACTGCCTGCCTTGACAGTCTTCTCACTGCTGAAACTATGGCCCATTTCTGCACATTCTTCTTAGAAGGTTTTGTGTTTTCTTCTGTGGAGCTTGAAAACTGTCTTTGTCCCTCTTGTCTATAAAGAAAGTGAGGTTGATCTTCTTTCTCCAAGAAATACATAGGGAATTCTGACAAAAGAAAAGTAGAAAGTGCCCATTGCTTTTGTAAATCAGCCTCTTTAGCCTTTCCCAGTGAAACCCACGTCAGACCTTTCACCATCCGGGAGCTGTCTTCCGGATGGAGATTATCATTTTTCACATCTTAGAGTGTGACACCTAAGCTAACACCTTTTATTTTTTGTCCAGCTGGGAATGTTCCAGTGTGAGGAAAATAGAATTTTCACTTTCCTCTGGCTTAATGACATAGCCCACACCACAACATACTCTCCAGCAAACTTGAGATGGAAAACAGAAAGCATCTTTAAGAGGGAAAAAGCAGGTCACCACTATTAGTCTTGCTTACTTTCTTCTTCTCACGATGTCCTTCCTTGCCCCCACCTTCCCCCTTTTCTGCTCTCCCTAGAATGGAGATAGTACATTGTAATGGAGTCTGCACTTAAAGCATGCCATTTGTCAGTAGGTACCACAGTAGAAACAGAGTTGATATTGCAGTATCGCCACTTCTGTGAACCTAGGCAAGTTACACACTCCTCTCCCACCAAATGGTATGGCTGCAAGTGTTCTGCTTTGAAGAGGGGCTGGGAGGTTTTAGTGAGTTAAAACACAGGAAGCCTCAGATTTGCAGTCAATGCCCCCCTGCTACCTGCTTGATATTGATGTTACTCACTTCATCTCTCTTTAAATTGGTTCCAATGGGACAGAAATGTGGAAGACAGACCTCTATCCTGTCCTCAGATAGTGTGGTAGGATTCTTCCTGGATCCGAGTCACGGGGAACGGTTAAGAAACAAAATCCAAAGCTTGAATAGAGCCCCAGGTCTCTCAATGCCACACAGCCAGGATGTGGCAGGGCTGAGCAGCGATCCAGGACCCCAATACTTTAGGAATTAAAGCATCTTTTACTGTATAATGTTCTTGTCAACCATGCATGAACATACAACTGACTGTCCATTTCTCTGTGTTACTGGTTTTTCCCAAGCTTTGTGCTTCTTAAAATGGATAATTTGTTCATTCCAGGTTCCACACAATTTAGCTCCTGGAAAAGGAAAGGAGAGACTGACTTTTAGGACTGTGACAGTAAAAGACAGAACAGTGCTGTATTAGACTGACTGCTGAGAAGTCACGGGAGGGGTCCAGTGAAGTTCGTTACTGAGATGTCTTAGTACCTGTGTCTTTGAGATCACCCACCTCTTAACAGCTTAGAGGTCACTCTTTCTTTGTTGTTTGTGTTTGTTTGTTTTTCAAACAGAACTCTTTTAGACAAAAAACTATTCTCAGTCTCTGAGATTTAAACATCAGTGTTGAAAATGCCAGTCGAAAGTCTAAAGAAAATGAATATATGATTCCTGAAAATTAGGCAGTGGAGTAGAGTACAGGAGGCAAAGGGACCCCTACTTTCCTCAGTTTACTAGTCAAATGTCCTAAAAATGAAACAAACAAAAATCTTGTTAGATGTTATTTATCTCAACATCACAAAGAATTCCATCTGTCCTTGAGAAAGCAAATGCCAGAAGCTGTTCCTCAGCAGTATGGTTCTGAGTTCACAATCTTTCCTTCATGTGCCAGAGATAGACAATTCCACAGAGATCTAGCCACCTCACTGCAGTTCAAACCTGCGCTCTGTTGCCTCTGGTAATCTACAGAGAGAACCATCAAAGTCTGTTCTTTAGAAGGTACAAAGTATGAACAACATGCAGAGATGGGCAATCCATGGGCACTGAGTATCATAATGAAGTTAAGGAATAGGAATAGGCTCCAGTGTTTTAAGTAACATGGGTTAATTATAAGTTACAAGAATTTATGAAAACCTAGCAGAGAATTGTTTCAAGGTTCCAAACTCAAAAGATAAATCATCAAGGAAAAAGAAATATAAATTATTCTGTTTTATCACTGTACACTGTATACCTTTGTGGAATCACCATACTATTCTCCATAAGTATGTATAATTGTTAAAAAAATATTAGGGATGCAAAAAGTGATCCTACAGTCTTTTGAAATTATATTGCCAGAGGTGATTCTATATGCACATTTTATTCTTGGAACTTGCCTTGGGCATTATATTGTCTCAGTCCAACTGAGTTGTACCAACCTTCTTTTGAGCTCAAATATGCAGGTTTGCAAGAAGCAGTATGGAAACTGAAGGGAGACACTTTTAAAGTGATAGCTTCTACGGGTTCATGGCTCAAGGATATTGAGAAGGGCTGATGCTCAAATGGGATACACTGATATACTGTATCCACTGTTAGCAATGGAAACGTTTTTCTGATGCTCCTAAATGCTAGTGGTGTCCCTGAGCTGTGTACCCAGCCAGCACACGGTACTCTCCAAATCTTCCTCCTGTCAAGTAATGGCTTTGTGTTTGATACACTCATGGGATGTTTGCTGGCTGCTGAGAGTTTGTGAGGAGAATGTTCTATGATGCTTTGATTATTTTTTTCTTATTTTCATTATTTTTATTGCTTTATAAATAATACCATTCAAATTTTCCACTTCCCTACTCCTCCCATTTCCCTTCTGCTCCTCCACTCACCCTCCCTCCCTCCCCCTTCAGTCCTAAGAGAGGACAGGGTACCCTGCCCTGTGGGAAGTCCAAGGCTCTCCTCCCTCCATCCAGGCTTAGGAAGGTTTGCATCCAAATAGACTAGGATCCCCAAAAGCTAGTACATGCAGTAAAAATAAATCTCAGTGCCATTATCATTGGTTTCTCAGCTTGCTCCAGTTGTCAGCCACATTCAGAGGGTCCAGGTTGTTCCCATGCTCATTCAGTCCCAGTCCAGCTGGCGTGGTGAGCTCCCATTAGATCAGGCACACTGTCTCAGTGGGTGGACCAATCTCTTGTGGTTCTGACTTTCTTGCTCATATTCTCCCTCCTTCTGCTCTTCAACTAGACCTTGGGAGCTCAGTCTAGTGCTTCAGAGTGGGTCTCTGTCTCTATCTCCATCTGTCACCAGATGAAGGTTCTATGGTGATATTCAAGATAGTCATCAGTCTGACTATGGGACAAGGCCAGTTCAGGCACCCTCTCATCCACTGCCCAGGATCCTAGCTGGGAACATCCCTGTGGACACCTGGGAACCCCTTTAGAGCCAAGCCTCTTGCCTCCAAATGGCTCCCTAAATTAGGATAGCTTCTTCCATGTTCCCATATCCATCCTTCCTCCATCTCAACCATCCCACTCCCACAAGCTCTCCTCAACCCTCTCCTTCTCGCTTCTCTCTCCACCTCTTCCCTTCCCCCAACCTCAACCCCACCCCCATGCTTCCAACTTCTGCCTGCTTGTCTGCTTACAATTTGAAGGAGTATCTATGTATCTATATATGTTTTTCTTTTGGTTCATCTTATGACTTAGCTTTTCTAGGATCGTGAACTATAGGCTCAATGTTTTTTGTTTATGGCTAGAATCTACTAATAAGTGAGTACATCCCATATTTGTATTTTGGGGTCTGGATTATCTCATTCAGGATAGTGTTTCTGTTTCTATCCATTTGCATGCAAAATTCAAGATGTCATTGGTTTTACTGCTGAGTAGTACTCTAATGTGTAAATGTGCCACACTTTCTTTATCCATTCTTCCATTGAGGGGCATCTAGGTTGTTTCCAGGTTCTGGCTATTACATATAGTGCTCCTATAAACATAGCTGAACAAATGCTCCTATAGTATGGTTGAACATCTCCTGGGTATATTCCCAAGAGTGGTATTGCTGGATCCTGAGGTAGGTTGACTCCCAATTTTCTGAAACTGCCACACTGATTTCCAAAGTGGTTGCACAAGTTTGCATTAATATACTGAAACTCACTTTAGTATTTCCTGTGTTGGCCATTATTTAAATTTTTGCAGTAAAAGGGAGATTCCAGACACCACAGTATGTATCGTTACTTATGCGGTGATCTAGGCAGATATTCCTGCATCCTGTCAGACAATTTCTGTAAGGCAGACATATTCCTAAGTGCTGAATTGCTGCATGCAAGAAAATCCACTTTGATCATATTAGACCAAGCATGTGTACTCATTTTCACAATGTATTTTGTATTCCCAGGATTGTATGGAATATTCTCTAGCAAGGTATCTCCTACCCCATTGTAGTATCATATCTTTATTCATATGGCTGCCTTCATTTTATATGTGGACTTTTTTCTCAGTATATTTTGCCCCTCATTAACATTGGTACTAATTTCTTCTGTTGTCAATGGTTGGTCTGCTTACTTCCCCATTGTAATAGTTCCTTGAATGAAGAGATGCTTAAGAAAAGCTTTCCTCTGCTCATCCACATTACCATGTGACCAAAGGTAGAGAAGCTAAATGCATTAATAGCATTATTAAAATAAATACATTAGTAACAGCATTAGATATAAGTAGTGGGCCCCACAGGGATGGGTGCAAAGTTATCACACAGTCTATGAGACACAGATCCAGCAGTTTGAAATTGGTTGTGGCTCGGGATGATAGTCTAGTGATTCTCTGTGTCTGTAGGACACAAGCTAGGAGGGTGGGGAATATTAGACTTTTATTGAGTACCTGCAAGTCTCCTGTTATTTCCCTGTGCATTCTCTCATTAAGCCCCTGTCATTACCTTGAATGGGAGATGTATGAAACTGTTGGGTAGAGAATTATTGCTGCT